CCCCCCCCCCCTGGGGGCGGGGCGAAAATCCTGGGACACCGGTACCATACAAGAAACTACCGTAGCTCAAATTTATAATAACTTTATAATCAAATCAGCTTAGAAGTAAAATACTATCAATGACCTTATAATCATTTAACTGAAATTCTACTTATATCTGTTATATATAGAACAAACATAATTTTACTCACCAAATCCATCATTGTTTCCAGGACAATGAGGTGGTCCATTTGCTTCAGGGAAACCGGTTTCTATTGATTCCTCTAAAATAATTGAATATTAAAGTTCACTCCACGTAACTATAAAATTTGCATGGTTTTATTCTGTTGAATAACATATTTTAAAAAATAGGACAAATTGTAAAATAAATCACATTACCTTCGGTTTCGGAAGGTTCATCCTGTAATCCTTCCACACGAGACATGTCGGTCACATCCAACAATTCTTCATCTTCAGATTTCTCATCTTTATGTGTAAAGAACACAAGAAAAAGTAAAATACTGGAGTCTAAACTACCTGAAAGGTTATCTCAAAGGACAGGGTCTATTTAGTAGGTAGTATTCTACAATATAACCTGCAATATTTTATCTCAAACATGGAATCCAGTGTTGGTAATATTCTACAATAAGCTGCTGATCTTGCTGTGCACATGGTTTGTGTTGAAAAAATTTATAGCCACAAGTAGGGGTGCACCTGATATAGTATCCAGCCACATAGTGACAAAATCGAACTATCCGGTCGGATATTTACTATTATATATTGTAGTTAGTAAAAGCAATTTGATTAGCTACAAGCTTACAGTTAAATAACACAATTACGCAACCTACAGAAAATACAGTTATAAATCTGCAATCACGCAACCTACAGAAAATTGAGCTGTCTGCAAATAAGCCTGCGTTCAGATATCCGGCAAATTCAGTATCCGGCCGGATAGTAAAAATCACTATCTGGTGCACCCCTAGCCACAATTGAAAAAATCATTGTTTTAGGTGAAGGCATCACACTATTAGTAGGGTAATCTGAAGTAGGGTAATTCTGTAGTATTATATTAAATTTTGTATTAAATTCTGTATTAAATGATGCAGGAGGCTAATTAGCTAATTTTTTAACTCCTGGCTAAAGGGCAATTGGTCAAAACATCAAATTATTTATAATAATATTTCCTAGAAAGCTCAGACATGATATATACATAATATAGCTTAATAAATTACTCATTAATTAATTATATAACTGAAACATTCATATAAACCCATCCTACCTTGTGGTTCTGTTGTTTGCAACATTTTCAAGTGTGGCCATACAAATTTATATATAATTGCAAGTATAATGACAAAGACAACAATAACTATGACAACAATGAATGCCACTTTCATTGTGTCCTTTTGGTTATTTGACACCACAAGTTTTTTTGTTGTAATAGTACTGTTTGTTGTGTGGTTACTTGTTGTCAATGTCTTTGCTTTCACGTTGCTTGTTGTAGGGTTTGTTGGTTTCATTGTTGTAGCTGGGTTGCTTGTTGCAGGGTTGCTTGTTGTAGGGTTGCTTGTTGTAGCTGGGTTGCTTGTTGTAGCTGGGTTGCTTGTTGTAGCTGGGTTGCTTGTTGTAGCTGGGTTGCTTGTTGTAGCTGGGTTGCTTGTTGTAGGGTTGCTTGTTGTAGGGTTACTTCTTGCAGGGTTGCTTGTTGTAGGGTTGCTTGTTGTAGCTGGGTTACTTGTTGTGTTCTGCTGTGGTGTCAAGACTTCACAAGCAGTTCGCTTCGTATTCATTACATAGCCATCGTCACATTTGTCAAAGCAATACGACTCATCTCTCTGATTCGTAAGACATGTTCCCTCAATGACTTGATGTTCAAAACATTTCTCGCTACGACAAATCTGACACTCCCTTGAGTCTTCTGTTGCAGAATATGTTCCATTCTTGCATTCTCTGCAATCACCGACCTGCTCATGCCTGCCAACAGGTGTACCACATGGTATCTTTGGTTCCTTTCCTGGTTTACAAACTTTACAATTCATACAACCTAACGTTTTGTTAGATGTCTTATTTATCACAGGGTATTGTTTTGTAAGATCACACTGCATTGTCTGTATAGACGGAGACATACAGCATGACAGTAAAATGATCACTCCCTATAAAAATAGAAAAACAAAGATTTTTATTTCATAATTCCTATGGTAAAAACTAAAAATATTGGAAATTTTAGATGTTTTTAATCCAAATGTGCCAACATTTTACACTGCCCTGCACCTATTCAAGGCATGGTCCAGGGGTACAATTAACTTTCCCCTCATAATGTATCAGTCAAATCCAAGTGTGCCCATCCCTCACCGGGCAACCCCCAGGCTTTGGACAATTTTTGAAAATATGTGGCAAATTCCCAGGAGCGGGGATGGAAAACACATGAAAATGGCAAAAAATCAGTAAATCCCCACCCTGGGGACAGCTGGACTGTTTGGCTAAGAAGAGTAGGTTATCAAACTACCTGAAAATAAAGAGAATACTTTCTGCAACGTTTCGAGAGAGTGCCCTCTGTTAATATATCAAGTATTGTTCAAATGCCCAACCCCCGGGACATGCTTTACAGAAAATGCCCCGGGGAGGCCCTGGGGGGGGGGGGGGGGGGGGGGGGGGGGGGGGTGGATGGGCATGCTTGCATTGGGATGATGCATAAATACAAACTGGAAAGTTGTTAAATTTCACATGGCCAATTTTAGGACTATGTAGTTATTAAAACGCAATATTTCCCCTGAAGTGCTTTTGGGTACAAAAGCTTTTTATACTTTCATGCTTGCTTGCCTTCTTCGACTAGACCAAAGTACAAATAATACGTTTTAGCTTCCTTCTCTACATTTACTGTATCTAAAACATTTTATAAAGTTTTAATGTTATATATGAAGCACAATATTGCAAAACAAAGCAACAGGTCGCGACATTAGTTTACAAAGATAAAATATTGAACGTCATTGAAAGTCTCGTGACCCCACTACATGTCGATCTCGCAAAAACGTTAGAAAATAACAGTAAAAGTTATCTGCCAAACTAGAATTACAAGGTCATTAAATAGCGAAATAGAATCTGTTATTTGTGGTAAGCTTTACATGTAAAATGCTTTGTACTATACAAGATTTGTAAAAGTTGCAAAACAGTAAATTCTTGAAATTCCTCCAGCAATTTGGAACTTTCTACGCGTCTTTCGTGGCCTTGGCCTTCATGATGGAACGAATATAAGCATACAATATATGGATCAATACTTATGTTGAAGAGCCAAACAAATACAGCAAGTACAGACTGTACAGTGTAAACACGAATCAAATACGATGACATGCGAACACTTGCGGCTTTCTATCAAAGACCGCTATATTAAAAGAAAAAAAATATGTCAAAAGAAAAGGTAAGAAACTCACCAGAACAAACATCCTTGATATTGAAAGTCACAAAATGTTATCGACGGCAAAGTTGACAGCTAAACTACGCAATTTAACAGGACATCGAAGGATTGAACCTTCTTCGACAACCAAACAAACCGAACTGGCCCGGTTCAGACTGGTTACACCTCCGGCACGTTTATTTGCATGCGATTCATCTGATATTACGTCAGACTAAATAAAGGGAATTTCCCTTTTTACTAATATATACAGCGCAAACGTCACATCCTCCTTCCCAGCCTCTTTTCTCTTGTAGAAGCACCGCTATTTCAAAAATTTGATACAGCACTGCAGTTTTCGCATATTTAGCCTTTTAAATTGCCTTTGAACATGGCCATTCCAGTCTTTGTATCATAAATAGATGGCACTATCCAGTTTTCCAGGGCTTGCCGGCTTGAGTATCAGGCCACATCAATACTAACTAAAAAAATGTGTCTACATGTGCAATAGTAAATTGAATAAACAAAACTTCATTCAATTAAAACTTTATTTATTTTCACACAATTCAATCTTCTTGAATTTTTCTCAACCAGGCCTTCTTCTTCTGTGCAACACGATCCTTGCGTTGTTCCAGGGAGAGTCGGGAGCGACCAAACCTGAAGCAAATAGAAACAAAAATTTATAGAATTTGTACTTAATTAAAGATTCAATAATAAAATGTGTGTTACAAACAGCACAAGGTTAGATAAATTTGCTTTGCCGTCCAACACTGACCTTTTAGGTTTGCCTTCACGAGGAGCAGGAGATGGTTTTGCTGAAGGATCAACTCGGATTGCTGCATGAGCTTTCTTGTACATCTCCTCCATCTGAAAATATTGTCAACATTGGTTTAACTCTGTTTTTCATGTTGTCAATTACACATGATCTGTTTTATTTTTGGACTTACAGAATCTGCCTCGATTCCCTCCTTGATGTATTTTGAAAACTGACGTTTGTAGGCATCCTCATCTTCATCTTGCAACAATTTCATGTAGTCGGCAACATGTTGTCCAAAGATGTGTTTGCGATGAACATCAGCACTGTAATCCTGTGTCTCGCCATCGTAGCCTGGGAAACGCTTCACACTAGAAAATGCAAATATGTCATACTTCACACATTGAAATACTTTGCATCAGGAAATTGAAATACACTACTTACCTATGTGGGATATCCAACCCACCATCTAGAGCTCCTTTCAATGCGCCAAACAATCGAGCACCAGTACTCGTTCTGGCCAAACCAACATCTAAGAAACACCTGAATGCTCCCGGTGATCCATCAGCGTCCTCCACATTATAATCTTCGCCATTTATATCATCATTTCCAGCGTAGATTTCATGAAGATTTAATTTTGTTAACAACTAAAACATGACGTTTCTCGATGTAAACTAACCCTATTCCTTACACTCCAAATCACAGTCTTAACATTGTCCGTACTGGTCGTTCCAGAAAAGATCCATCCTGCCCTCAAGAAGGAAATTGGGAGGGGAAATAAATTTGTTTCTGATAATAGTGGGTGTATTAGGGTGTACAAATGGGGGTAAGTTAACTTCCAATTTCTTCTGCGGGGAGGCTATGGATGTTTTCTAGAATGCCCCAATCTAACAATGATGTGCAAAGTGTATATCATCACTTACCCTTCTAGCAAGCAACAGACCGGTGCAATATGCAGCTGCGTAATTGGTCAGCCCCACCTTGACGCCATAGCGAGGAAGTTCATGAGCATATGCAGCGCATATGATCATGTCTCCCTCAATCTTGGCATACGCTACCTACAAGAAATATTATCACAGTTTGCAAATTTCTTGACACGTTTCAACAATGTTCAAAGAAAATTTAATTCTTGCAAGTGGAAGCATTTTTGTTATGGAAATTTAAAGGAATTTTATTTTTGAAAAGTGTAAGTAATGTTGCATAAGTGGAAACACGCTATTGTAATGAAAATTTAAAAAAAGTTATAGCTTATCAAAGTGGAAGCATCACTATTTTATAGGAAATTATAAAAAGTCAGAAAATATTGTAATAAATTAAAATTACCTGGCAAACAATATCTTTGTTGGTAAATCGAACTACCAAACGATATTTTGGAGTATTATACTTGTTTTTATCCTGGGTGATCAATCGCTGACGAGCACGGTAATCAGTTTTACCCTCTAACAGAAAATATGTAAAATTCATGTAATGACTGCCTGGACAATAGAACTTATACATAATCACTTCACAAGACTTATCCATTTTGAATCGTTTAATTTTCCCGGGCAATGACCAGGGTTCAAATTAATTCTGAAAAAATGGTTCGTGAATTGATTTTTTATTTTCAGGAAATTTTAAGGAATTTTCAGGGAATTTTCACTAATTGGATGTTAAAAAGTGGAAGCACTGCAATTCTCAAATATATACATTATACCACAGAATAGAAAATAAACCAGAAGCCTCACTCAGCCAAAATTGTGTCCGAGATTTTTTATGCGAAGCGTGAGCCAGCAAGTGTAATCACGACACCATCAAACGCAAGCAACGCCATCAATTGCCATCACTAGGTAGTAAAGATTGCTGTTTTAACCGTTTTTAAATGCCACAGGTCCAAATAATGGGTCATCGCAACAGGAAGGCACAACGTAAAAAACAAAAGCGTAAGATATTTGCACAATAATTGCAGAATATGCAGCGTGCACTTTGAGCATGTTTTTCGAATTTCAAGAAAAAACGTTGATTTGAGGAATTGACGCTGACGTGATGTTCGCAGCAAGTGTCACACACGTCATCTAGCGTGCGAAATTCGTGATCCGCAAGGCGAAAATCGCAGACACGAAAATGTTAAGGAAAGGTGTACAGTGAGGCTTCTGGTGTATTATATATTCTATGGTTGCGTTGCCGTCCTAAAATCGTAAGGTCTCTAATATTTTCTGATAGCGCAAAAAAAATATCACGTGACTAAAGTGACTGTGTGTATACTGGTCTTGGTGCCCTGAAAATCTTAGTAAAATTCAAGACCAAATTGGCCTTGCCTTGCCTTTATTTTTCCCAAATTCGAGGCATGAATATGTGTACTTGTATATGTATAAAAATATTATATATAAATAAGTATTTTATATTATATAAGTATTTTATAGTATACTATATTATATATTATACTATATTTTACTATTTTATGTAATATATTTTGGACATTTTGCTTTGCAAATCATGTGTAATAATCCATCTTTACATGTTCTATAATTAGGCCGAGGGAAGTGAATACAATACCGTTCTTATAATTTCAAAAATAGATAAGGCTTTTTTGTCATTATTCATTATTCATTGTATTTTTTAGAAATGTGTGAACATTGGTCAACCATCAATAAACCTGTTCAGTAATATGCCAGCAATCTTTAAAACTAGGCAGGGAATGCCATAGTGGAAGCTTTGCCCTTATACATGACTTCAGCAAATTTGAGTTTAAAGTATAGATAATTGTTGAAATAACGAAATTTGTGGAAATGATTTTTTTGCGGCAGCATTTTGGACATGCAGGCGGAGAAAGGTATTCTATGACTTCACTTCTCTCTGCCTTACAATATGTTATTTATGTCCTTGGAAGTGATTCAGCAAAAAAGTGCTGTCATAAATCACCAACCCACATTTTCCCATTTTTGGCCCGACACCTTGTTTGAAAAATGACGTCAAATGTCCAGATAACTTTGAATTTTCAGAAACATTTTTTGCAGTCATGACAGCAGAGAAAAAATATTAAAAGTCATAAAAGCACAGGCAAATGGGATAATTTTTTCAGGAATGACGGATAAATGTTTATAGGGGTGCGCTCATTGTGCCCACTCCTGGTACAAATAGGGTTAAAATCTCCCTTGTGGTGTTTGTCATTATACAGTGATTGATCTAAAACCTATAGGTTTCTAAAACAATATGGGCGGGACTAACAATCATGTTTGTATTGCAGTCAATTGATGTACATTAGTAATGTAAAACCTCATGTTTGAAACGTATAAACGAAGCTGGAGAAAAAATAACGGTTGCTTGCAAATGGTAATAAAAATATGTCAAATACATGTCAAAGCACGTCCCAGGTCGGGACATTTGTACAAATTTCAACAATTTGAACTGAACACTCACCAGTGAAATCAGAAATAGCAAAGCCATCAAATATTTCATTCCATTCTTCCACTTCCTTTTCTCTTAGAATCACGGAGTCAATGATGCACGTACTGATTCTATCTAAAAAGCCGTCATCTGAAGAACCCAGAAATTGATGCAAATTTATGTATGGCTGCGGCTGGCAAAATCCACCAATGGATAAACAAGATTTATCAAGTTCCTCCCTTTCGTCCAACGCAGCGTCTGCCTTTTTTGAATTTCTCCCATGACTCGTTCGGATTAGTTTGGAATTACCGTCATGGAAGCGACAAAACATTTGCCTTTTGCTTGCGCCGTCTGTTTGTTTTTTCATCAGATTCTCGAAAAAACTTGTCATCTCGGCGTGACAGATGAGAGCTCGTCCTCCACGACTTTTCAGGTGCTCGAACAAACCTTTCATCGTATAATCATGCACAAGTACCTTGGTGGACAAAACTTCAAGGGGATTTTCTATCGCGATTTTATAGGCCTGGGTTTTGCCTGTCCCCGGTTCGCACAGACACACTGTATAAATGTTACATGGCTCCTTGTGTCGTTCACGTATCTCGAAAACACAATTAGGACCCATAAGGCACGATGTTACTGTTAACGATCCCAAAAGCACGAATTCTGGTTGTGTGTTGACCGAACCTGCCATGGCTTCCAGCCACTGACGTACGAGATGAGGCACTGCATCCCATGGGAATGATATTGCTCTTGCTTCTCTAATTATTTCTTTTATGTCTTCAATCGCAACGTCGGGTTGATATCGGTTCCGGCCCTTTTGTTGATACATAATTTTTGAAACAAAAGTAGCGTGACAAGACTGTTATTAGACAAGGCGTTTGCCAGAGGGTAATTAACAGTTACCAACAGTGACTTACCTAAATGAATGTAGTTTTTACCTTCTTTTCAACGCAGAGGCAGAGCTCAAGCACAAATGTAATATCGATGGGCAGTGTCAACAACACTACAACAGTGAAACTGTCAAATATAGTTGCAAACATCAAATTTTAAACTGTTTACGAGCTAATTTAGCGCATCTGATTGGCTAATGTGTGATCATAGCACAGATCATAGTCTGATAGTCTCGCCGGCATACACTCAAATGGCTTCCTGAGCAGTGCACGTCAAATTCTAAATTTAGATTGCCATGCAAAATAATTGTAAGGCCTAATTCCACACCCGTTCCGCACGTTATCAGCAATATAGTATTGTAATTGTTAACCGTTATTAGCAATAACTGGAAAGAAAACCACAAGCATTGGACAAAAGTTTTAGTTATAAAAGTAACTGTCTAACTATCGAGGCGGCGGGGTGGTGGATGGGCAAACCCCAGCAGCTTTACTTTAGGGTTAGGGTTAGGGGTTAGAGGTTAGGGGGGTGGGGGTTAGGGTTAACAACCCAATAACTTATTGCAAATAACGGTTGATAATTACAATACTATATTGTTGATAACGCAAGGAGCCAGGGGCGGCGCTACAGGGTGTGTGTGTGTGTGGGGGGGGGGGTGAACACCCCCCCCCACTCGTCAGCTAATCGGCAAATTGTTATCTCAGTCGGCAAAACTGGATTCCCTAAAGATAACCACTGAAGAAACCAATTGACCTCCTGAATAATTGAATTCAAACCGAATATCACGAATAGCATGCATAAAAAAAACCACACATGCAGCAATGCAAGTTTTTCGAATATAGTATCTTCACTTCTGGCAGCTAGTCCAAAAACATAATATTATTGAAATCATAATTAGGTAATTAAATTTGTTTGGTTGTTGTTGTTGTTGTTGTTGTTGTTGTTGTTGTTGTTGTTGTTGCTTATTATACTGTTCTATAAAAGAGGCAATAAAGTCGGTTTTCCACTAGCGAATTTTCTCGCACGAAGCGGCCTTTTTCCTTTGTCGGTATCACTTATTACGTCAGCAAGACGTGGCAAAATCAGTCCTCGAAAACGAGGTCGGCATTCGGCAATGCCGGGCTAAATGCAAATTTTTGCCCACCTCAATTCAACCAAAGTAAGAATTTTTTATGCTGATAGCTTTTAAAATGTCAACGATTATAGAATTCGATTCGTAACTGAACACACTGCGGTGTAAGGTTTAAAAACTGACGGGTATTGTGTATATACGTTAGATGTTTGAAGATCAAATTTCGCGCGTCTGGAGTTAAAATTTGGCTCCAACTTTCGAATTTTCCGGCTGGAGGTAACGTTCCAGTTATAT